TAATGTCTTAGCAATAGTCTGATACTATATATATATAGGTCTTACTAATTTTGTTTTAAATTAGGAAAAGTAATATTATTCTGTGTTATTGTGTATTAATAATATCTATTATTATATATTAGTAATATGTATTAAAAAAATATAGGAAAAAGGTAAAGCTCGCGAACCGGCTCGCGAGCTGTCGAACAACTGAAATGAAGCTCGAGCTCGACTCGTCAAAAAGCTCGGGCTCGTGAGCTCGAGCTCGAGCTCGATTTTTCGAGCTCGAGTACGAGCTTTTTTCGAGCAAGCTCTGAAAGCTCGCGAGCCGGCTCGTCTCATTTACACCCCTATATATTATATCCATAATTAGTTTATTCTAGCTACAAAAAGATTTGTTACATACCTTGTTGCAATTTGGGACCAACTTCTGCAATATCTGCATCCTTTGATTAATTCTCTCTCTTCTTTTCTGGGACAACACACATGAATACATATTTCATAACTCTTTTTAATATATGTTTTATTTATAAAAAAATTATAAATAAACATTTTATTATATATATAGAAACAATTAATATCTAGTACTAGATTAATTGTTTTTGACCTAAAACATATATAGAAATTAAACAATTAAACCTAGATCGATATGTATATATGTTTTAGGTCAAAAACAATAAGACAAATATTTGCCAGCTCAACATACGACAGAAACAAAAAACCTACCTTTTCAGACTGGTTATGCATAGCAGCTGCCCTACTTTTGCCTGTCGAATTTAAGGATTTCCCATCACTCTGCAAATATAATCTAGAATTATACAATTTATATATTTTTTTTACACAATTTATTTATCACTTAAATAAATTAATTCTCGTTCGAGTGCATGCAGTACTATTAAGACTACTAAAGCTGTATGTATATATATATATATATATATATATATATATATATATATATATATATATATATATATATTGTGTGTGTGCGCGCGCGCGTTATGTTGCCGGGTGCCGGCCATCTCTCCGACTCACATTAGTTTTGCTGCTGCAGACTCCGGCCCCGCCGTGATTAGTGCTGGCGGCGGCCGCCCTACTGTGCGGCCACTCCGGGGTGAATTCCGGCACGTGCTTGGGTTTTTCTTGATAACCGCGAATGCTGCTGCTGTAGTTGGTGGTGTCGCAAGCTGGGACTAGGGCGTCAGTGATGACGGCGGCGGGTAATTGGTGGTGATGGTGGTTGCCTCCGTCGCCGGATTCGCGGAGGCGGCGATGGCTAGTAATAATGGCTTGGTTGACTACAGACTCGAGAGTACCGGCAACGCGTGGCTCTTCCCAACCTGGAACCAAAATGGGAGGGAGGCTGGGCGGCACCGGTGGAGCGGAGCTGTCGTTGATATCCCAACCTGCAGGAAAACAGTGACTCATTTTTCAGACAAGATACTTTTCTGCCTTGATTCTTTTTTCTTTTTTTTTGGTTAATTAGAGCAACATTTGTGATTTATAGTAGAAATTAAATCAGGAAAATAATATAATTTTAATTAACAATAAGGGTAAATTACAGCCACCTCCCTGAGTTATAGTCAAATTACAAAAAAACCCTCTTGTTTGGGTAATTAATTACAATCACCCTCTAAACTATGAATCGTCTTACACATCCACCTTTGCGGTATCATATTTAGTAGAATCTTCTAGATTATGTGGAATATTCTCCAGTTTATATCATTTTTACCCCCTTGGAGCTCCACATTTTGAAACAAGATGATCATAAGATGTGTCTCTTGACTTGTAAGTATCAGATTGTGGTGAGTCGGAAACTGCATTTTTTCACAAAACGAGTACAAACTAGAGTTAATTTCACGAAATCTATCAGATTCTTTTGAATTTGACACTATAAGGGTGGACGTGTAAGAAGACTCGTTATTGAGGGGTTGATTGTAATTACTCAAACAAGAGGGGATTTTTCGTAATTTGATCATGCCTCAGAGGGTGACCGTAATATACCCTTAAAAATAAAATGGGTAAATTACACCTATACCCGTGAGATATGCTTAAATAACTATAAGGTCCATGTGGTATCGACAATTACAATCACCTCCCTGAAACATTGTTAGAAACTCTAACGGAATAATGCATTAGCTACGCGATTCCAATAGAGTTCTAACGAACTATTAGTTCAGGAAGTGGTAGAGAAAATATCGGAATTATGTATCTAATGCATTTTCTCGTTAGAGTTTCTAACAATATTTCTGGGGTGTTTGTAATTATCGA